TATTGAAAGGTCTCACTTACCATCATGATTTGCAACTTTTTTGCTGAAAATATTTAATGTGAAAAGTATTTATATTATGGAAATAAAATCATCCAATCTTTTTTGTTTTTATATTTATGTATTGTTTCTAATATAAATAAAAAACTCTGTTTTAGGTATATTAATCATTCATGTTTATAATATACGTAAATCAAATTACACAGTTGTAGATTTATTAATCATTGACAAATAGACAATCAAGGCAATTAATCTTTGTCATTATCTTCTTCAATAACTGAGATCACGCGTTCGTTTATTAACAGTCTATGTAAAATTTCAAACGGTTTAACAATTTTCGCCAAGTAACGAGCGTGTGCCAAATAAGAAATAATCGCAGCTATGTATGAGCAGCAGCTCAGGGTGCCTCTTCCGTTCGCAATAATATCGTTTCACTCCCGATAATCCCGTGGTGGAAAGAAATGGGTGGGCTCCTCCGATGAACAGATTTTTGCTTGTTCTGCCGAGCACCAGTTTACGCAACGCACCACGGGCACTTCGTTTGAAAAGCGAGACTAGACGTTGGCCGCAATGTTGCATGGAGAGCAAGAAGTGTCGAAAAACATTTTGAAAGTGGCATAAAGGGACATTTTAATCGTGACCAACCAAAAATAACACAAAGGTGTAATTGAAGTGAAAGGTGCAATATTTTTGTTAAAAAAACCGTGCTTATCCGTTTCTGTTCCACTATTTGTAACTTTGATAATTTTGGCATTTAAAATTCCCGCTAATATTATGACCCAAACTGGTGACTGAAGCTCATTGGCTGAATTCGGATGCGCAAGAGCTCACCCAACTCTTTCCACCATGGATATTCCGATTGAGTTTGGTACTCAATCTACGTAACGACTGTCAGATTTTGAGTTCATATGCCGAATCTGTGTTTAAATATCGATTAAGACTTTTTTCCAATCACATTTTGGCGCGAATTCAAATGTTTAAACTGATAAAATTGGTTTTAATTTTTTTCACAATTTTCCACATTGTTTAAAAGACTGAAAAAAATATAAAATAGAATTTACGTGACATTGTAGAGGAAGAAAGTAAAACAGTACTCCTACGTTAAGTCAAAAGTCAATTTTAAAAAAAATTCTATTTGAGTTTGGCGTCAAAATTGGTTGACAAAAGTACCTTCAGATTCAACTATTTTTTCCCCGTTTCTGCAAATGTTTCAGTCTGATACACACAATAGTACTGAGAAAATTACTGAAGGTTTGAAAAAAATTCAATGTAATTTTAGAAAAAGTAAAAGAGAAGAGATCCATATTAAAAACCATTTGGAACAGGAAAGAAAAGTTCTTTGGACACATTTTTAGGCATAATGACTTCTTAAATAAAATTTCGGAATGTAAAAGTTGGAAAAAGAGGAAGAGGGAGACCTAAAATAAATTTTGGAACACCTTCAAACACAATTACAATTTAAAAGCTATGCAGAAATGAAAAGGACAGTGGAGGACAGAATGTCATAGTGTCAGCGACAAGACACTTTTGGCCTTTAGGATGATGATGATGATGATGATGATGATGATGATGACGACGACAACTACAACATGCCATAGAAGTTGAGAAAAAAAAGTAAAACTTTAAAAACACGTTTCTCGTTGTATCTCTGCAACAGATTGCCCTAGGACGCTTCTTTTTTGTGAATCTGCGGCATTTTTTATTCCCTTTCGTATGAGAATCGCGATTGTTGATTTTAGTTGGGGGCACTTTTTATTGCCTTATTCGACCATATTCTTTGACGTCAGCTTATCCATGTAGACTCACTAAAGGTGAATAAAATGGCGTTACTTATTAAATGGACAGCATGTGTCAGATTTACGCTGTATATTTCCTGTAGAAAACACAGTACACATCCTCGCGCCTCTTCCTTAGGCTCAGGGCTGCACATCTTTTGCGCTTAGGGCGCGCGAGGAACATCTCGCCGGTTAAATACTCTTCGGAACTGACGCCAACCCTACGTTTCATGGAAACGGCAGCCGCTGGGTTAATAGTGTGGTTAAGACAAACCATTCCAGTCGGGGTGCCGATCAAATGCGAAAAATCTTTCGCTGCAACAAAGACTCAATTAATTCAGGTTTCGGTTTTGTTATTGTAAAAGCGTTTGTAGTATTCGTTGTCACTTTCTGTAATAAATGAATATAATTTTCTGTTCTGACAGTGATTCTATAGAACGGTTGCTCTCATCTTATTAATACGTATTCACTAATGTTTCATTATGTGAGTCCCAAATGTACATTTCACAGTGACTAGACAGAGTTGCAAGGACGCGTCCTTGTTGAGGTGAACGCTAACGGGGGTACTAGACTCGCGTCGTAGAAGCTCGATTGAGTACATCTGCCCACGCAGCCGCTAGTTATAAGCCCCAAAGAGACATCTCCTGAAGTAAATTTGCGAATCTCCGATGTCCTGCACCCGGAAAGATGCGTAGATGCACACGTGTTATGCTAGCGCGCCTAGCGCATTAAATGAGCAGCCCTGCTTTCGCATGGCCTCGCCTTCCTGCCCGCGACGCTGCGCCGCCGCCACACTGTGATGTCCCCGGGCTATCTCAGTCTGCCCGTCGCGTCGCGTCGCGCTCGCGCCAACGCGCCGCGCCGCCATAAAGCTCGCGCCCCCTGGTGCCACAGCAGCAGATCACGCGCGCACTGCCGCACACGCGGCGGCCGCTGGCGGCGGCGCACGGACCGGGGCGCGCTGCCTGGGCCGCACCCGGGGCTGCCGCCGCCATGGGTCGGCGGCGGCGGCAGCCGCGGCGGCCGGCGGCCTGCTCGCTCCCTTGGTGCCGGCGTCGCCCGCCGCGCGGCGTCCGCGCCGCCGCACCCGCTTCTCAAGGGCGCCGCCGCGGCCGCCGCCGCCGACCTACACGCCGGCCCAAGGGACCCCGCGGAGCTCAAGGGGCCCGGATCGCTGCCCGACGACCGGCTGGTGAGTCAACGCACGCGCGCGCTTCAGCGCGTTAACGGCCTCTTAACACGGAGACTCTCGCCACCACTTCCGAGTAGCGCTTCCGCTAGCAAAGTATTGGTTTAATTGGAGACATCCAATGCAACGCAGTGGCGCTACTGTAACGCGTAGTGGCGCTTTCCTGCCACCAGAAGCTCAGACGCGCTTCTGCGCCTCTTCACACCCTACTCGGCAGCACTTAGGAGTGGCGCTTCTGCTGGCGAAGTATTGGTTTAAATTGAGGTACTCGATGCAGCGTAGAGGCGCTGCTGTAACATTTAGTGGTACATTTATGCCACCACAATCATAGGCCCACTTCCCCGCCATCGCCAGTAGAAAAGTTCTCTTATGACAACCCTCACGCTAGGCCAAAAGGAAGCGCCATTGAGCTTAGCTGCCAGCATGCTGACAGCCATGCTACCGCCGATGACCTAAGCAGTGACTCGCGAATTGTGAATATCATAGATGCTTCATGTAAAGAACCCTCTCGAAATAAAATATCTTTAAGTTCTCCGGCTCTGCACACCTAGAACTTACTCCTTACGTATTTTCCAAGTTTCAGCTCAAAAGCTTCTAATCTTAGAGTTATGCACAATTCATCCATCCACACAGACATCCCGATTTTCGGGAAATAATCTAAAAAATCTGGAAGAGGAAAATAATAGGCACCATCGGCCGAAAATTGGGAATTGTATTGTTGAGGTGCTTGAAATACTTTTCTCCCTACATTATAGTTTAGGAAGGAAAAGTAAAAATGACTGACAATTCAGATTTGTGGATTTCTTCCTTTTTATAGCGAGTGTAGCAAGCATGTGTCCAAAGACCCAATTGTACCACGTCAATGCTTCTTGCGGAGTAGAAAGTCAGTGAAGGGCATAGAGGACAGGTGGAATCGATTGAAGGTTTGCTTAACAGAACTCTGTGTATTCATCAAAAGTCCCTGATCCCCCACGTTCTGTAAAAGTGTAATGTGTTCTTCCCTAATATCAGCGTGATTTGTTTTCCCGTAGCGGAGTTCCGTGTCGCCGGGTGAACGCGATAAGTACCGCTCTCGGTCTCCAGACCCTGACCACGACCTCAAGCGGCGTAAGGACGACAAGCTCGGCCACGTAAGTAGCCTGCCCGACCACGCCCCCATGAACTTCTTGTAAGAAGCGCGTGGATATTATTAAAAATATTATGATTCCTCTAATTTACAATTAAAGATGTTATGAGTCGGTTGATTATAAAGTGTACTTCGTGTTACAACCAGCTTCCTAAGGAGCAAATCTATGGACTGTCGGTGCCTTTACAATACTTTAAGCAAAATGAGGGCTGTTCCCAATGAAGCAATGTTAGTGTTATATTAGCATCAGTATTTAAAATTATTTCGAACTAATGTTGAGTTACGCCGCTGATAAATAGCACACTACATATAATCAGCGAGTGTGTTTAGACATCTTCATAAATGCGTGTGACTTGAGGGTAGAATGTTTTTACAAGTATATTTCATTAGCTGGATTTCTTTATGAAATATTTTCGACTTATTTCTGTCATCAAACAAGATGCATTTCTTCAGTGTTTGTAGAGTCTAATCTTTCTTTAGCTTGTCTTCCTGGGACAAGCATATGCCCATCATTTGTTTTCGGTACAAAGTACATATTTGTCCATCACGTTTTGCATTAATATCAAAATCGCTTAAACCTCGAAGTATTCGCAATGTTGAACCCTGATCTTTTAATAATGAAATAATAATCATACGACTTTATCGGGTGTCAAATGATTGGCAAGTGCGCCAAATGACCCCAGTTCAGAAGTGGGAAATTTCTATGTAATGCAAGTTAATGACAGGTGGGTGGCAGTGTGTGTGGCTATCCCAAAAAAATTGAATAACAGAAATAATTAAATAAAAACAATGGTTGGAAAATAAAGTTAAGCTGTTTTGTGACTTGTAGTGATATTATTTTATTTGTGATAATGCGTACGTTTATTGTACGCATAAATTGAGTACGCTAAATAAATTGATAGATTCTACAGTGATGATGGTTTGGCTGTTGCAGGAAAGCGACGGGGAAAAGAGTGACCAAGATCTCGTGGTGGACGTTGCGAATGAGGTACGTAAGAGGCATAGAATAATCGAGGAATTTCGAGCGATAACCTGATCGATAATAACACTCTTCCACACAGATTCTCGTTGTTTCTTCGTCTCTGAACACTTGTAACATTTACAAATATCAGTTTTGAAACGCAATGTACATCAGTGACACTCGTTGCCATTACCATTATTTTAGGCAAATTGATTTTTTAAACTAACGCTTAAGTAAAGTGATTGTAAGAACTAGTTACCCCGATATGGACCTAACGTCAAAATACTTTCCTTCTATTGTATATTAAAGTATAAATACTAACAACAGAGAATATATATTCTAAAACTTTCGAGGGCTCTTTACGATCCTGTTTACAATATTGTGTCCATTTTTATCAATCAAAATATTTATATTCAGTCTTTATTGTGACGCAGCTCTTAATTCGAAAACACATACAAGACTTTATTGTGCAAAAGCTATGGCTAAGGCCCGAAAAGTAAGACAGGAGGAAAGCAAATTGTGATAATAATGGAATGTTCGCACTGACGAGCTAAAAAGAAACAATAACAATAAAAACATTTTTTATAGTTCCTGATAGTCACGATCAGATGTGTTTGCATGTAAGTAATGTCTATATGCATTCTAAATCCTCCCATATTATGTTATATTTGCATCAGAAAAGAATCGGGAATTAACATGACAGTTCATCAAAATGTGATCTTTAGTTGTATTATACTAGAATAGAAATAAGTACAAAACGCCTTCTTAAACCTTTCTCCCTGCACTATCACATTTCATACTTAAAAAAATTGGACTGTTACACGATCAGAAATGACTTGCGATTGTTCTCGAAAATGGTGACACAAAAAGTGGCTGTTTTACGGCCCCTATGGTACAATTAACATATCTGACGGGAGATAGTGGACGCTATTTAAATTGCGCTGTTTTAGTTATAACATCACCGATTATCTTTAGCGAATATGTTTGCAACTGTTTTGTTTACTACCGCACAGTAATCATGAAGGTGACATGCGACATACATTTCGTACAGTTATTTGCGAGGTCGGAATATGTTCAGGATGATGAATCGCTGTAATTGATGCATTGCCGAAATTGAAACAAAGATGTTGACATGAAAGAACACTGGTCAAAAATCCAAATTTTACTGGACAAGAAGAAAACGATGAATAGTAAGCCAAAGCCCTCGCACTAATGTGTAACACCGTCCTCGGAAAGCTGCAACATATAAAATATTTCTTTTCGTAACTTACGGAGTTTGACATGGCCGTGGGTTCTTACTATCTTAGATGCCAAAACAAATATTAAAAACTTGTTTACTTGCATGCTTTTCCATGTAAACAAATATACAAGACATTCCCCTCGAAAACCGAGCTTATACGGTATAAAACAAGAAAGAGTAGAGTGACTCTGCATCTTACTGCTCTCTCGCGAGAATTTGTTCACAAAATTTTGTCTTTCTTACATATTTGAAGCCAGATGAGACTCAAGATCTTCCTAATATTTCAGTGTCAACAATTATCTCCTTGCTCGATTCCAGTTCCTCTAACTGCGTAGTGGTGAAGTCCAGAACTCAAGTTGTTATCGTTTCCCATTCCAGTTATCACTAAAAATAATGTTCATGCAATATATGGTATTCATCTTATGCAGGTTCAGCCATTACAGTGATTCTTTTTGTTTAACCTGCGTTTTTATGTAATTGAAAGATAATGTTGGAAGGTCATTGTGGGCATCTTCAAACAGTAAATTTGATCAAAAAAGATCATAGAACACGTCCAATGTGTGTTTTTTTATGCATTGCGCTGATCGGTAAATATTCTAAATTTAAACTTCTTACATCTGGAAATTCAGAAATTACAAAAAATGTTGAAAGTCTTCTGATTTTCCGGTGCCAAGTTTTGTCACAATCAAGCTTTCGGTGAAAATGTCAGTAAAATGTGAACAGGAAACTATTTTCTTTGATGTTTCACAAACTTGCTCACATTACGAAAAGAAATAGCAAGTTTCTTCCTAAACTTTCCTCATACTTCTGGCCGTTCGTGACCTACTCAGTGACATTTCGCAAACTGTATGCTCGAAAAATCGAGCATTTTCCTGAGGTGCGTCTGCGTTGTGGAAAACACGAGCTAGTTGAAGGCCTGGGGAGAAATATGATGATTACCCTCAATTGATAGTTTGTGTGATATAATTTTTGACGCCTTCCATCTGTTATTCGGTTCAATTATTGAATAGTTAAATTTATGGCTCAATGTTGGTCCCCGGATGTCGTATTTTATGTAAACTACTTATTCTCTCTTAAACTATTTGCTTACACTCGGAAACCATATCCAAGTTGGTCAAGATGTTTTATACCCAAACCCTATGGCTGGAACATTTGAAAGAAAGCTGCAAAATATAAAATAGTGACAAATGGAAGAAGAAAAAACTCTTAGCATAAAGAATCTAAGTGTTAAACAGTTCGTTTACATTTCGTTGCTTTTACTCCTGTATGCCTTTTTCTCAGGCGTTTCCCATCTTCAAAACCTTCACCCTTTCCCCCTCCTTTCCTTTCCGTCGGATATCTTCCTTGTATACCCGGTATCACGGGAAACCTCTGGTTATAGAAATATGTCGAGCTGCCGACGAGCGTGCGAATGCACGTGCCACAGCAGCAACACGCGAACGTGCGTGCGCTCACATTTCTCTTTTAAATACTTCCGGGCAGGAAAATCAATGACAGGGGCTCCTGGCTCTTCCCAAGCAAAAAAGACAAAAATTACTTGTATTTAATTTTCTCTTTTATAGCCGTCTGAATGATGGTGTAAAAGTTTGTGGGTAAAGAAGAAAATTTCAAATCTGAAGATCTCAACTGTTGTTTCGAAGAACTTTAGTTCTTAAAAGGTTGAACCTATTAATATATATATATATATATATATATATATATATATTAAATTTTTAAAAAAGGAAGTATCTTCAGAATACTTTTGTTTAGGAATTAAAATTATGTAGGTAAACCTACAAAGTTTGACTCCGCTTTCGGTATACACTCCACCTGAAACAGAAGAAATACTGGCGAGAAATGCTACAGTGCTTGTGCAGTGGAAAAAAATTAATATAAACGGTTCTTAACGAACCAGGTGAGGAGGTGCTCCAACTTTTTATGTTAAGCACTGCCAACTTGTAAATACATTTCTCATGCTCCCCAGAGTTTTAGTTTTGGGATCTTTATTTTTAACAATGTGTATTTGATAGATTTTTTTCCCACCAAGCCCCTCGCAGACAACGCTATTATCTCTAAGGCCAGAAGTAGGGTATCGGAATGACAGCCATGCTGGTTTTACTACCCAGAAATTGTTTCACAAATATTTACATTTATCACTTAAATGACTATATTTTACTATTTTTCATACGTTTCTGTTGTTGAGGATCTGTATGCATTCTTCGAGAGTTTCATCGTGGAGAAACCCTGCCCTTTAATCAAATTGCTTAATGTGAATTGTGAAAATAACAATTTCCTTCTGTTTTGAGCTTGTCGGCCTTGTTGAACTTCTTACAACCACAAAATGTTGTTAAAGTGTCTTTTGACCTGTATATCTCGTTCTCCGCGAAGGCCCAACAAGCTGAGCTGAATGCAACTCCTATAGCTCTTACCTTTATCCTGACCACCTTATTTCGGTCTGTTCGAGAGAACGAGGTAATGACATTTGTAGAGAAAGGACGAGGAGTGTAATTCAGTGTACCAAAATTTAAATTGAGAGTTGAATTTAATCTCGGCAAATTATTTACAAAAATATTGCTATTAATCACATTTTAGTAATATTTTTATAATTGTATTAATAGCTGTTTGTCACGCATTATTGAACTTCTTACAACCACAAAATGGGGTTAAAGTAACTCCTCACCACCTCGGGCAATGTCGCTGTGTTACGGTGGCTCCACACATTTGGGCATTCGGAGAGTAGCGAGCGACGGCTTTCAGAATCCCGAATAGGGGAAGGAGAGTTGCTTGCCGTTTGTCGAGCGCCAAACAAACGTTGCTACAGTTAGATTTTTTTAAGTGGTCGATGATATTAGGTCTTTGTTACACCTTTTGCCTTGTATAATATTTTTAATTAATTCGCAAACGTCCTCTTCAACGGGCTCGTGACCTCAAAAAATAGGCACAGTTAAAAATATTAATTTTATTTGGCGGGAGGTGTAATGTGATCGGCCACTTAAAAAAATCGAAGTATAGTCCTACCCACAGCGTTCGGTGTTTTGGGCACAACAAAGACCGCTAACCCTTGCCGACCACCCCGGTTACTCGCGATTGGGGGGCGAGCAATCACTGGTATCTCGCCGAATGCCGAATGTGCGAGCCACCTACCACAAATCGCCCCGAGCGGTACAAGCCCTCTAACTCCCCACTGCGTCGGAAATGCACCGTGCACGCGCGTGCGTGCGTGTGTGTGTGCGTGTGCTGAGAGCGCGCACGCGTGTGTGCGTGCGTGGCGTGCGCAGGACGCGGGCAGCCCGCAGCCGAACGGCGAGCACCCGGCGGAGGTGCGCGAGAACGGCGACAAGGGCGGCGGCGTGGGCAGCGTCAAGTCGGAGCGGCCGGCCAGTCGCAGCGGCTCCAGCTCCAGCCGCTCCACGCCCTCCCTCAAAAGTAAAGATGTAAGGTCTCCGGCACGCCGCACCGCGC